GTCAGTGAAGCTCCTGATTTCCCTCATTACATCTGCCTTGTGTCTTTTGGAAAACCAGAGATCTTTGCTGTCTGGGTGACTAGAACAACACACAGCAACATACTGTAGAAAGACGTTATTATCACTAACATTATCACTGCCAGCATCAAGGTGACATTACTGTAACTTATCTGTATTTTCATTTGCTTTAATGCCTTTGCAAAAATGTTTTACAATTTACCATTTCTTCAACTCATCCATTTGACCTGATCTGACCCTGCTCACCTTGTTTGTTAGTCCAAAACAGATGCAATGTTTTTGCCATATGCCCTCATTTGGGAACAGTTAGGAGTGTATTAGACAGCCACTCTGTTTCCTGGGTGAAAAGCTCTCTTGTTAAAGAGAATGGCCTCTGGATGCTAAGTCAGGCCCGGACATGCTGCTCTGTAGCCAAATAATAATAATGTGTGTAGAGGAGCACCAAATGGATTCTAATACATTGTTAAAAATAAATAAATAATAGGGGAAAGTTGTGGCTGAGTGGTTAGAACAGTCTTCCTCCACTGAGAGAGTTGAGGGCTCGATTCCACCAGTGGTCACATGTTGTGGTATTATCAGCATTATTATTATTGTGGTATTATTATTAGCAGATATTCTCTGCTCACACAGACTCATGTTCATGCTGCTGTTCGGTGTATTGTGTTTATTGTTTTTATGCTATTAGTGCTTACCGTATTTTTAGCTGATGTTTTTCTTAATTCATATCTTAGATCTTATTACTGTTTTTCTTTCACATTTTATTGTTGGATATAACTGGGACCCTGTGTACATAATTTCATTTGCACCGGCAAATGATAATAAAGAATCTCTGAATCTCTGAACGTTGAAGTGTCCCTGGGTAAGACACTGAATCCCTCATTGTCTCTGATGTGTGTCGCATCTGTGTATGAATATGATCTAAAGCACTGATTCGTCTTTGTGCAGCACGGTGGCGCAGTTAATAGAGCTGTGGCCTCTCAGTGAGAAGGTTGTCGGTTCAAATCCAGGCCAGGTGCCTTTCTGGATGGAGTTTTTATGTTCTCTCCGTGCATGTGCATGTTTTCTCCGGGTACTCCAGTTTCCTTCCACAGACTAAAAACATGCATGTTAGACTAATTGGTAACTCTAAAATATCCCTTGGTGTGAGTGACAGAGTGAATGGTTGTTTGTCTCTATGTGTCCCTGTGATGGACTGGAGACCTGTCCAGGGTGTCCCCCGCCTCTTGCACAGTGACTGCTGGACATGGGCACCAGTGACCCCCGTGACACAAAATGGAAGAAGTGGGTAAAAAGATAATGGATGGATGAATCTTCCTGTAATAATAGTAAAAAAACTAAAGTATATATTGAACAACTAAAGTCTTTTAATGAATACTCTTTAAATATACACAAGTGGTTTAATGTAGAAAAGAAAATCTTCACCAATTTCTCATCTTAATAAAACACAAGATTTTGAATGCTCACCATTTAAAAATAACTTTTAAAAATATTTCAGAATTGATTGATATATAAAACAACTTCCTGAGTTTTTTAATGTAAATTTGCCTAAATGTTTTTTGTTTTTTTTTCTTGTTCTTTCGGTGGCTCCCTTCTTCAGGGGTCACCACAGTGAAGTAAGTCACATGAAGACTTGACAATTATTTTTACGTTGGATGTTCTTCCTGACACAACCACAGACCACTGAGCTACCACAGCCCTCTGTGTGGAGCAGAGAGCTGCTATACACAGGTGTCAAACTCCAGGCATCGAGGGCCGGGGTCCTGCAACTTTTAGATGTGTCTCTGATGCCACACAGCTGAATCAAATAAGGAGGTCATTAGCAGGACTTTGGAGAACTTGACTGCACTGAGAAGCCAATTCAGTCATATGATTCAGGTGTTTTGGACCAGTGGAACATATAAAAGTTGCAGGACACCGGCCCTTGAGGCCTGTAGTTTGACACCCAGGCCTCGAGGGTTAAGGGCCTTGCTCAAGGGTCCGGAGTGGGGCAATTAAGGGTGGAGGCAGGTGTAGGTGTTTCATCTATCCCACCCACTTTTGATGTTGTCAGTACGGGGAGTTGAATCTGCAATCTTCCGATCACAGGCCCACCTTCTCTAACCTCTGCGCCACCACTCTCTCCTTTAAGAATTGATTGATATAAGAAAATAACTTGCCGAGTTCTGTATGAAAATGACCCAAAATATAACTGTATATAACTGCTTAATTTGTTTGGTTTGATTTACAGCAGCATTTAGGTTTTTCAAAGTTAATCGAGTTTAGGATGCGTTTCCTGTGAGCATGTCTCAGACCAGAAGCTGGATTTCAGTCCAGCTCATCAAACACAGTCAGTTCAACACAGGCTTCCCTCATTTTCTGCACGCAGTTGGAATGATCATCTTTAAACTCTGTGCAGCGGGCATTGTTTCAGGGTCAGGGAGAAGTTAATAGACAGCAGCATCTGTCACGCGGTGTGGCGATCGTCGTTAAAAGACCGAGGATGATGTAGGAGGCGGCAGTTTGTTTGGCTGTAACGGTGTCACCGTATGCTGTGGCATTCTGTTGGGTTGGTGTCAGAATGGAGCTGCTGGCCCACGTTCACACAGCACGGCACTGATTTGCAGATCTGCAGACTGTAAATCAAAAGAGAATGGTATTTTTGGAGAGGACTTTTTTCGCCTCCTATTATTTGAGAAACAACTTCTATTTTACTTTTTTACCTTGAGTGTGGTGTTGAGGGTCCAGCAGCCTTCAGCCTGCAGGTTTTTTTGTTCTGCTGTTATTGATGCTTTTAAAAATAGCACTTATTTAGTGCTTGATTTTTATATTTCCTGTGGTACGCACTCGAGTTATCAGGGTTTTTTGGTTGTCATAAGTAATCCTCTGTGAACTGTAGCGATGAGCTGAAGATCTAATAATCTATTTATATTGCTTTGTTTTCAATTCAGCAAATACAAAATAAATAAAAAATTCCTAAACATAAATTTAAGTTATTTTTGGTATCACAAGTTTGAAAGATAAATACAGACACAAGATTCAGAGCAACACATTTTAATGTTTTTAACATAAATCAATGTAACATAAAGAACATAAAATAATGTTTAGTTCAGCCAAGGAGTTGATTTAAGGGAGAGTAATTAAAATCAAATGGAAAACCCTCTACTATGAAAAAGACAGTATCTGTTGCATTTATCAACTAAATTTGATTAATTCCAGTAAAACTAGCACATCATAAATGATTCTACTGAAAAACAGGATTAGTTGGTGAGGTCATGTAAGGGTGCGTCTGCCTCGCAAATAGGATCAAGAGGTCTTTTGGTTTTAAGCTCCAAAGTTTTATACTTGAGTTACAAAAACTGTAATAAAAGGCCACAAAAGGTTTTGAAATGTTAAATGTAATAATTAGTTGCCAGTTTCTGCTGGACTCTTTTGTTCATACTATCTGTTGAGTTATTTCTAGTCTATGGTTTAGCCATTAAGGATTGTATTATAGATTTATTCCATAAAAGTCAAATATATCAGTCATTGTTTATAAATGAAACAAGATGAAAAATGAACAAACGAACAGAGTACCAAGTCAAATAAGGAGCGAGCTAAACCCAAAGTGAAAAGCCGATGTACCTTGTCGCTCAAGGATTTGAATAGTGAATGTTTGTAGTTTACGAGTGTTTTTCTGAACTGAAATTGAAAAGGGAATGCAAGAAAATGTGTGTGCAAGATACTCAAGTGGATAGGTGTTACATTGTGTAAGAAAATTGTTGTTTGTTTGTTTTTTGGGGTCCAAGGCAGCACAGAGTGAAGGATCGAAGTGAGAGAAAGGAGCAGTTTTATCCACTTCCAGGTGCAATGGAGAAGTGAGGAGGTGGTCAGTGTCGGCCTTGGCCACTAAAGATTAATCTTTAGCTACAACACCAGTCACCCCAACCATTTGAAAACTATACTTTTAAGCAATATACAAGCTAGAAAGCAGTTTCCTCAAATGACAGGGGTGACCAGTTTATACTGTACATATATGGTGAAGGTCATCTTAGATTTTCACATGGCAACCCAATGCCTAGCTGCAGCCACACACCAAAAGAAGTTGACACTGTGCTTATTTTTCAAATTATCCAGTTCACAAGGTTTACACATATATGTACTGTGTATATATGTATATATATATATATATTATGGCAGCCATCTTGGATTTTGACGTGGCAACACAATTTTTGAACGTAATATTTTTTACCCCTAGATGCAACGATACAACAAAATGGAAGTCAGTGGCTTACTTAGTTTTCAAGTTAACGTGCTCACAACATTCACGGACGGACAGACGGATGAATTGACAGAGGGTATTTTCAATTCCCTCTTTTTGCTCCATGACAGTGTCAAAAATAGATAAAGAGATCCAACTCCCTAACTTATAGAAGCAGTATAAGACTTATAATTTAAGTATACATCATTGCCTAAAACGTTGGCATATTATTTTAATAGCTGAATGCTCACCTTTAGTAAATGTCAGAGTTCAAAACAAGTTCATTCATTTCCCTTTCCTGCTCTTCTTCAGGGTCACAGGTGTGCCAGAGGTGGGCTATACACTCTGAGCAGGTTGTGAATTTATCTCTGAATGCCATGACAATAATACTTTTTTAAATTGAAAAAACATGAAACTAGGTGAGTTCAAAAAGTTTAAATCCAGATGCAGACCATGCTTTGGAGCAGGTCTATGTTTGAATCAGAGAACTTACAGATCCACGTGGCATTTGATTATCTTAAAATTACAGCTTAAATGGATGATTTGCATTTTCAAAAATATAAAATGGTGAAAGCCAAAATGCAGAAGCTTCTAAAGTCTAAAATTACTTTAGTTTACAGATTAAGATTTTTTTTTATTATTGTACTTTGATTATTTCCTGTGCACTCTGATTTGATTTCACTGATATTTTCATTACTTTGCAGTTAAAAAGGTCTCAGTGCGAAGCCCCTGTGATTAAACACCAACTCTCTTTCTTGCTGTTCAGGTGTGGCAGTGTGGAGGGAGCATGGAAGTCCTGCCATGTGCCAGAGTGGCCCACATCGAGCGCACCAAGAAGCCCTACAACAACGACATAGACTATTATGCCAAACGCAACGCCCTGCGAGCCGCTGAGGTGTGGATGGATGAATACAAATCCCATGTCTACATGGCCTGGAATATTCCCATGAACGTAAGACTTTTTTTTTTTTTTTGCCTTCAATCATTCCCTGCTTCTCAATAACTGAGATCTCTCTGCCCCTCACCACATCTCGCTCACTCTGATTTGCAGCCCTGGTGAAACACGAGTCAATAAAAATTCAGAATTCAGATTTCATCTCACTCGACCTTCACACTTCCAGGAGGTCGCAGAATCAGTCTAAACAGACGAGTGCGGTGGACAAGTGAAGACGATAGGCCTCGTGTCTAATGATGATTTTTATACGTGTCAGTTTAGTTTAATTGCTTTCAAGGGTCTTTTGAGATGAGCTGCAAAACAGTAAACACATGCTTTCATGAATAAGAGGTTTGATATTGAATTGTAATTGCCTCATCGGCCACGCAGAGTGAGCTGATTATAAATGAAAGACACGGGAGCAGAAGCCTTAAAAAGCTGCTAAAAGCTACACAGTGGTCCTCAAAACAACAATGAGTATTTGCAGCTGATACATACAGTGCGTGTTTTCTTATAGTGCAGCCAAATTATCTAAAAAAACTCATTTAGTACCAGTTAGAACAGAGGGCAGAAAGATGTGTGCAACATGAAGTCCTGTAGAGGTGGCAGGTGACAAACTAACCAATCAGGCCATATCTCTCCATGAGAATCATTGCAAACACAGTGGCATGGCATGTTATTACCCCAGCTGTCCTGTGGAGCAGAGTGATTTTGTGTACAGTGAGGAGCTAATGCTACGATTATTCCATCGAACCCCCTCCAAAATGACCCATACACACTCACTGATCCTTGTTATTATCTGAGGTACCTGCTGAGAGTGCAATTACTTTGAATTGAAAAGGTTTTATGATTCCCCACATCGGGCTGCCCTGGGTCCAAATGCCGCACAGCCTCTTAATGACACCGAATGTGGTTGTTAGTGTTGATGTCTGGTATAATCCATGAAAACAGGTGGCTATGTCTAACTAGGATTCATCATTAGAACATGTTGATTTGGTGTTTCACAGCTGAAAATACAAAGGACTTGTCGTAGAAACAGTGTCTGACAATAAGAAGTGTGTGTGTAACGTGGGGAGAGGGGGTTTGGCTGTGGGTGGGAGGGTTTTCATTCTAAAGAGGGTTGAATGCTCTTCAGAAGGTATTCTGTTTTTCACATAAAAGCAGTGTCAAACATGCACAGGTTTATAAGAGGTGCGTGCGTGTGTACTTGTGTGTGTGCATTTATCAAGCCGTTCAGCATTTGGACATTACCCCAATCAATCTTAGAAACGTTTGCCATAATGCAAGCTGGCTGTGAGGGCTCATAATTAAGCAGCTGATTAGAATTTGCTCAACACAGATCATTTCTAATGAAGGAACAGTGAAGCTCCCACACGACGAGTGCATTCATCAAAAACTCAACGGCCATGTTGTCCTCTCACCCTAACTGTTTTTCTTGTTGTTGTTTTGGTTTTGCTCCGTTTGCTGGCAGAACCCAGGTGTTGATTTCGGGGATGTGTCCGATCGCTTGGCCTTGAGAAAAAAGATGCAGTGTCGAAGTTTTCGCTGGTACCTTGATCACGTTTACCCAGAGATGCGGATCTATAACAACACCATCACATATGGCGAGGTGAGAAAAGCACTTTGTAAACACGTAAATGGTAATAAACGGCGTGCTAATTTTGTATTATTGTCATCTCTAATTAGATAACCGATAATTTAACAAAATTAATCTGTGGCTAAAGATGATGCAGATGCAAATTCAGCTAATTTAATTTAATTAACAATGGAAATGAGTTATGAGAACCTATTTGTAAGCTGTGAATTGTGTACAACGTTTATGTAAACTCTCATTTAAAGTGAAATCTCCAAGAAATAAATGTTTGGTCTTTGTTGTTTTTTGCTTTAGTTTGTCCAAATCCAGTTTTAAAAACAACTAAAATATATGTGAATTAATCAGTCCGGGGTTACACATCCTCTCTGAAGACTCTTCACTCATGAAAAATGTGTATGTTATTCCACAGCAGTTGCTCTCAAGTAAAATCATATTGTTGCTATGGCAATGTAACATCACTGCCCAAAATTAGATGCAATTTCCTTATAATGAGTTTTAATTAAACACTTATTAGTTTTTCATTCCAACTTGATTGCCTTGGGCTTGCTTGTACACTCAGCGCAGTGGAGGAACCAAACAGGCTTAAGGCGCAATGAAGGATTGAGAACACTCCTGAGTCTGACACTATTTGGAGACTTGCTGAAATGCCGCATATTTTTCCTCATATCAATTTCAAAAATGGAAAATCAGTATGCCCTGGATGCCAGCAGGCATCAGAATTACCCTTTATATTCATCAGCGCTTTCTGAATTTCCTCCTCCTTTGTTTCCCTTGCTGCCTGGTATCCAGCTAATGGATTCCTCAGAGTGGCATCCACTCAAGTGGCACTATTTCAGATCTGTCGACAAGCTGGGAAGCAGTTACCTCATCCTGCCACACAGCTGCTGCAGCAGAAGTGAGCCTCATCTGTCACTGAGCATCAGCACTGCACTCCACTCAGCCATGCTGTCCAGATCGGCCAAGTGGAACCTTCCCTGACAAGAGCGCATGATAGATATGTCACAACCAGGAAATGAAGCCATACTCATTCAAATCACAGAGATCTGCAGCTCATGCTAAATGCACACCATCATCTGGCCCAGGAAGGAAGGAAAGGCAGAACGGAGACTGGTCACTGCATGACAATGTCTTATCATGGCTCAGCCATCACTTTGAGTTAAAACTCTTAGGGAACAAGTTGAGGTGGATCTACAGGAGGCACTGAGGAAGGGTGCCAGATCTGACGGGGAGATAAAGTTTTGAGCTTTCAGTTACTCATTATTAATTCAGGGAATAAAAGAAGGTCTTTGGACATTTCTGTAAGGTTGAAGTCAACTGAACATTTTAGAAGATTAAAATATGTGATATTTTTCACAATTCTTTTTGTATATGTTTAATTTTAATGTACAGAAGTTGTTGTTTTTTACCTTTAATTTTCTCCTGAGAACTTCAGGGTTTATTTCTCATCATCAGAATTATAAATGATTAATTTACCCAGATCTGATGCAGTCTTTACCCTTTACTCAATGCTAATTGATTCAACAGACCAAAAAACATGCAATGCAGGTTAGTCGGTGACTCTAAGGTCTAAGGTCTTGTTTATCTCCATGTGGCTTTGTGATGGATTTACGATCTGACAGGGAGTAACCTGCCCCTCGCCCAGTGACACCGGAGATAGGCACCAGTTAGACCCTGCACAGAAAACTGTGCAAAGAAAATGAATGATCAAATGAATTTACTAGAGCCTTTGTGAAATAGTATTATTTTTATTGAAATCTTTTCACACCTTTAATATTCTTCTCTTCCTACCTTATGTGTTTCAGTTTTAAAAGCAAGGAACATTTTAAGTTGCGGTAACATACGGTATTTTGGCCACTTCAAGGAAATAAACTAAATTTAAAATGCATTGATCATATTCTGATGAGTTTAAAATAATTAGATACAATTAAAATGTACAACAAGTTATTTACAAAGAAATCTGACGAGCAAAAATAGCCAACAGGAGTGGAACTGTTGTTTTGTGAGGGATAAGGGAACGTTCAAAACGCTGCACCTGGCTCACCATGCGGGAGCACTCCCTCACAGGTGTTTTATGATTAGCCCATGTGACCTACAGACGGCTCATTGTCTACACCCAGCACCCCAGGTGTGCTGCCCTCCACTTTTAACTTCCTAATGATGTGTGGAGCACCAGACTTTGTCCTGCCTCTTCTGCCAGATCCATCAACTTAGAGCCAACAAACAAAGAGGGATATTTGTTTTTATTAGGATTTACTGCTTTGTGATGCTTCAGGTGCAAGTGGGTCTTTCCCCTCTCTCCCAACATGAACATGTAACTCTGATGGGATCTGAACAGTTTGTTGTGTTGATTAAGTTGCTAACTTTGTCGTGCTACAGCTGATAGTGTGGGATTAATGAAGGGTTTGTCAAAAAGTTGAGCAATCGTTCAGATTAGCATGAGCACATAAAAATGGTTGTGTGCTGACAAACTAAATAAATAGCTCAAAGACAATGACAAATGTCAAATAACCAAAGATTAAAATGAAGAGCTGTGATGTTATTCTGTGGGCTGAGCACTTTGAGCAAGTATTTTCACAAACTGTTTTGATCAATTACTGTATATTTCGGACTATAAGGCGCACTTAAAATCCTTTAATTGAGTCAAAAATCGACAGTGAGCCTTATAATCCGGTGCACTTTATGGATTAATTCTGGTTGTGCTTACAGAACTCAACGGATTTAATGTGGTACATGGCGCTCAAAAATCTGTCAAAATGAACTTGTTTTGCTTAATGCACTTATAGTCCAAAAGATATGGTATTAATGACAAATGCTGGGTATAGCACTGTTAAAGTGTAAGTATCTTTTGTTTCAGGTGAGAAACAGTAAAGCCAGTGGATACTGCCTCGATCAAGGATCTGAGGATGATGACAAAGCCATCCTCTACCCCTGCCACGGCATGTCCTCCCAGGTCAGATTTTACTTCCTGTATCACCTGTTAGAGCATCCAGGGTTCACTCGTCAGATTTAAACTAACATTTACCAATTCAAAGTGCAAAAAATTTAAAATCCTGTGATTCTTACCAAATTTGACACATCATATATGTGAATACAGTACTTACATGAGTACTCACTGCCTGGGGGGTGAAAAAAAGAGTATTTCTACTAACTTGCAAGATTTAAAACTTATACACACTACTGTACAGATTAAATATTGTGTATTCCAATAGTAGTAGTCTTCCCTAAAGATGATGACATCCCTGCTCACTATTTTACAAATTATGGAAGATGAAATGAAAAATGTTGTATTAAAGTCTGCACAGATGTGAAGGTCTTCACATCTGATGTTGTTAATTTGTCAAAGGAGATTAGTGAATAATGTAAAACTGCAGTTTTGTTACTAAAAGATGTTATGACCTGCAGAAGATGTTCAGATTATTTCCCTGCAGAGGAAAAATATTCTATAGCACTAATCTAACGTATGTACACAACATTTAAATTCTGCTCATGCATACTGTGTCTGACATATACTCTTTTAGGGCAACTTGCCCAGCTTTATTGCAACAACATGCTAAATAGGCTGAACGGTGACTCATCTAATATGACATTAATGTCACTGTGATGTCACAATGTTGTCACAGTTAAGTAGAATTTGTTAAGTAGACATTTGGAAATTTTGAGCAACTTTTCTAGCATGCAAGTTTGGAAAACTGCTGCTGTTTTTGTAAATTAATGCTTGATGTTGATCTTTAGTTGTTCTATTTGAAACATCAAAAGTCAGCGACTACAACCAAGTGGTGTTGCACAAAATAAAAGTTTGGATCAGGATGGAAATGCATGTCCTCTGCATCTGTGGCAAAAATATGTGTAATAGTTTTAGTATTTACAGTACATGTATCTAACAATGATATGTAAACATACCTACACACAAAATAGTTAATTACTAGGTAATTAATGGGTAGTTACTGTCACAATCAGTAACTAAATATCTGAAACTGCTGCCTTTATATCTGAACTTGTTCTTCTGAGCACAATTTATTTCAGTTTTTCCTTGGCTTTTGGCAAGGAGGTTCTCTCAGGAAACCTAAGAGCTCACCACAGTTCTTGTGTGGATTAAGAGCGTGTGTCTTTTGTCTTCGAGTTATCCCAGATGGATGCCATAATGTTCGGATCAGGGCTCAGTGGGGACTGTCTCCTCTGTTACGGGTCTCTTTGTTGTACTTCTTGCTCAGTGTGGTTATTAATAACTCTGCTGTATGTTTGCTGTTATAGTCGCTCTGAGTTAATGATCCAGGGCTGGAAAAAATCCAAAAAACATTTTATTGGTGTGGCATTATGAGGCAGCTTTTTACTATCCTAATGATTCGGTGGCTGACAGGTGAAAACGCTCCAAACACATGAATGATGCAAACTCCAAAACACACAAACACAAAAAAGCAAATGCAACAGAAAAATCCTGCTAAAGAAAAATTTTGCAATCCCAGAAAATAGACAGAAGAGAAAACATACAATTGTGAGGATTTTACTAATACCCAGAATAGTTGTGACCAAAAGAGCAACTCCAAAACATAGGAGATATACAGTGTTTATTTACAAATGTGAATACAAGTAAATGTAGAACTGCAAACCTGGTGGGAGGGACTGGAACCCTGAAGAGCAAGGAGGAGAGTTAGTAGGTGGAATAGGTCTTCAGGTGGTTCTGATAATTTGCAGGCAGCTTACTGTATGTAAGAGAAGATGGTACACTCATAGACATGAGGGTCCAAAGGTTCCAACGGTAGTCTAGAGAGGTCCCAGAGAGATTGCAGACATGATGGGCAAGTGGGGAAGGCAAGGAACAGCTGAGGAGCTCACCAGGAGATTCACAGAGAGCACTAGGAGGTCCAGGGCGTCGAGGGAACACAAGTAGATGTTGAAAAACGCATGAGCAAGAAGTTAGTACTTGAAAGAATGCTAAGAACACAATGGAGACCAGGAACACTGAGGCAGACAATGCACCAGTGTCGGAGTGCAGCTCATCAGAGAAATGATCCGCAGGTGTGTATCGGTTGGTGCCATCTGGTGTAGAGAAGCTGTAGGAGAAAACCCTAGAACTCCTACAACAATCAACAAAACAAACACAAAATAAAAAAGGATGCAAATTCCAAAACACTAAAACCCCCAAAAGAACTGCAAGTAAGAAACACTACAACCCCACTCCACAAACTGGAAATGCACCAGACCACTAGGGGCACTCGACCACAGAGTCATCTGGGGTCAGACCCCCAATAAACACATCAACGAGATGGCCAGAAGAAAGTTGGAGGACAGAAATAAGTTCTTGAGGGTTTAAAAAAAAAAGTTTTTGTAATTTGCAGCATTTTTTCTTTGCATTTGTTTGTTGAAGCGTTTTTCTGACGCAATTGTTTTTTGTTTGTGTGGGATGGAGTTTGCATCCTTCGTGTGTTTGGAGTGCATTTCACTGTTTGCAGCACATTTAGCTGTTTGCTGCGTGTTTGCACCTGTCGGCCACCACGTAAGGATCCTAAGTTTTGCGAACAATCCAGTGTAGAGAGATTCTATCATAAGTTTTATTTTCTTTGAGTAGATGTGGTACAGTGCTTGGTCTTTTATGGTGTAGATCGGAGCAAAGAGACCAACACATTTATAAAATATTGATGAAGAGTATAAAATGTGTTGAAAAGGCAACAAGCTACAATTATTTGATATCAATAAGTTAATGTTTTCTTTGCTAGTAAGATCAAGCAAAAAAATGCACCCAATCTTCGTCGTGTGTTTTGGATGTCAAGGAAACAGAAAAACTGGAGCACTAAAAGGTGAGATAGCGTGTAAGAAGAAAGCTCGAAGCTGCAAGACAAAAATGATGTATGTGCTCAGAGCAACCTTCGCTTGAGGAGATACCAGAACAAATGGCTCAGAATGGGAGCCTCTTGTCCTATTTTGTGTTATTGTTGAAAAACAAAAAGTAAGCCTGGAAGACAAGCATGTAAATGCTATTCAGGTGTATTTTCCCTCCCATTCTCATCTTCCCTATCGAATATTCACCTTTGTGAAAGAAATGTCTGTTATCTGATGGAGTATTATGAGGAGGCCAGCAGCTCACCTGCCTCTTTCCTGAGCTCTCTGGGTCATTTTAATCCTGATCCCTGGGGGGTATGAACAAAAAGAGGTGAACTTTGCATATTTGCATCATCATGTTACAGCGATGATCAACATTACTGTGAGTTGACAAAATTCAATTTTGTGGGACACTGTGACTTTGCATTCACTACCTTTTACTTATGAAAAATAAGTGATCCAAATAAATCTTACTGCGCTCCTGAGCAGTGAGTCATTCAGCCAGATCTTTCTTAGGAAATATAAATCCAAAGTCACCTTTGTTCAATTGTTAAGTGCAGTGAACATTTGTATCTTTGTCCAGTAGGCAATTTTCATTTTGTCAAGTTCTCCTAAAGTCCCATTCTGTCTTTTTACAACATATGGTATCTGCATAGCAAATATTATTCACACAGAGGTGAAACCAACTTAAAATACAAAAAACAAGTATTTGATCCTTTTGAGCAGTAGAATTTATACTCCTGCAGGTTAAGTTTTACTTTTGTACCTATTAGCTTAAGAAAATGTGGTATTTTCTCACCTGGGTGCACCATAGCTGCAAAATCCCAGCTGGTGGTCAGAGGTGGCACCCACTCTAGATATATAGGTTTCATATAACAGGTAATTTTACACACAAAAAAAGGTACATTTTAAGCTGACCCATAGAATTTTGTTAAACAAAACAGAAGTCAGTGATAGTAGTTAAAAATATAACCATTTGGTCAAGGATTCGACCTGTAAGTTGATGCTTTTTTAAAGAATTTGCCTTTATATATAA